AAAAGAGGGGCACCTGGATGCCTTAGTCAGGTGAGCATCTGACTGTTCATTTTGGCTCAGGTCATGATCTCATGGTTCATGAGTTTGAGCCCTGCCTTGGGCTGTGCGCTGACAGTGTAGAACCTGCTTGAGATTCTCTCTCCAACTCTCTCTTCCCCTCCCCCACGCTTGCTCTCTTTCTCTCTCAAAATAAACTTAAAAAAAAAAAAAGAACCATTAAAAACAAAGAAAAAGAAAACTACATAAGATAGGCAGGAAGGCAAGAAGAACTCAAGAACAGTATAGAGCTCATATGCTGGTATTGCTGTTGCCTCACACAACAACAAAAACAGAAGGAGGAAAAGAATTTCTTGAGCTTGAAATCAGTTGGAATACTAAGAAAATCCAATGGAAATATATGTAAGATCAGTAACAGTGGTAACTAAGGATCCATTTAGGGAATTTCTGTCAGAAATCACCTATTATGCTGATAAGTAATCAGTCCAACAGCAGATGGGAAAGATGGGTGTGTTCAAAATAGAGTAAAATAAATGCCCTTTGCGACGAAGTTAGTTATCTAAGAGTGCTAATTCTAGTCTGAAACTTAAATAAGAAATCCCATATACAGAAATCCCATTCCCAGAACCTCTGCGTATTGTAGAAAGAAGAGCGGCTGATACACCTGAGATGTAAAGATTACAGAAATGATCTTTAATTCAAATACTGTATTCCACTGTTAGGCTTTCTTTAAGCCCTGGCAAATAGGTTCAGCTGGACAAAGACTGAGCAAAGAAAGGGACTGTCAGCATTTCACAGATCTCAGCTCAGAGTGACCAAGTATCAGATCTCCCATGGTGGCAAGTTTCTATGATGCGAATCTGAGTTGTACAGTAGTTGTAGGACACAGACAATCCTGATTAAAATCAATGCAACTAAAGTTAAAGAAAGTTTCCATACTGAATTAGTCATTGTTCTGTAAGGTATCTTGTCTTCCAGTGCTTAGTATGTCATCCACATAACCCTAAAGGTGTAATCAAAGTTATTCTGCTTCTTATATAGAATTCAAAAATGAAGATCTGCTTGGTCCCAGGTGTACTGAGTTGCACATTGTTTAGCAGGTAAATTTGATGCTGTGGTTCTGATAAGTTTTCACAAATGTCAAAACTGGATGTGAGTGCTGTATAGGCTAGTAGTTACTCCTGAAAGCAGCTCGAAGACTCAATAAACCAGCCATCTAAGGTATTTGCTTAATCCTTCAATCCTGACAGTTGGCATTAGCACGTGTGATTTAATAAGTAGATTAAATACTTTGTTCTTCCCACCACAATGAATAAAGACAGAAGTAATATTTGCTTGTAGACTTTCCCCAGCATAACCAGGCAAATCACTGATCTTTCTTTCCCCAGTAAATGGAATCTATTTGAGGCCTGAGCAAACAAAGATATAAATGCCAGATTTTGGAACCTGATTATTATGCAGTGATATTCAACACTGGTTTTTTACAGAATAAATATTAACTCTCTCTGATGGGCAGCACCTTGCTGTGCAGGGCCTATTCCCAAGAGTCTCATTAAGAGAGGGAGTCAGCTGGGTTTTGCATTTATGTGTTACACCCAAGTCCAAATGCTACATATCTAATGTGTGTTAACTTCACAATTACCTTTTGTATTTTGGTATACGCTAGTTCTATAAATATATTCTCTCCTATACTGAAGGGGTTTAGAATACACTTATTATCAATTGCTCCTACTTTTAATTTGAAAATAAGAAAATAAAGTTTATGTAACACCTGGGACACTGTCTATTTTTATACACTTCATTCATTCAAATTACATCTTGCCTTTTAATCTTAACCTACAGAAGAAAAGATTTTTTTTAATTTTAAAAATATTAAAAAAAATTTTTTTTCTTGAGAGCAAGCAAGTGCAAGCAGGGTAGAGGGCCAGAGGGCAAGACAGAGAGAATCTTAAGAAGGCTCAAAGCTCACCACAGAGTCCCACACAGGGCTTGATCCCACAGCCCTGGGATCATGGCCTGAGCCAAAACCAAGAGTCAGATGTTCAACCAACTGAGCCACCCAGGAGCCCCCAATATGATTCTTAAACCATAAAGAAAACATGAAAGGAAACCTGATATAAACTCAACTAAGATGCAAAGGAGAATTCAGATTGTACATTTTCTAAACCTGTAGTCAATCAGATAATTCAAATGTAAATAAATGCATAAATTCAATAGTTTGAGAAAACAGAGGCTAAAGGGACTACTAACACAATATTATAGCTAAGAAGAAAGCCATTAAAATAAAAAACAAGTTTTAAACATCTATAAGAAAAAACATTTTCAATAATCTAGCTATAATTGACTTAAAAATGAAGACATTTATTGGCTTAAAAAATGTGTGACGCAGGGAAGAAAACTGATTCAAACTAATAAAGTTCAAAGACAATGAAACAGAAAGTTAACCATTGCTCAGACTGGCGGCAGTGAAGGAGGCAGCAGTGGTTTCACAAAATGCAATCTACAGCCCTAGTTTTCAAAAGGCGCCAAAAATCACAGCTATCAACTTTATCCAAAAATACTTATATAGTATAATTTAAAAATATTTAACTATCTTTCTAATTATGCCACTTAAATATTATAAATCTCATTTTAAAAAACATTCAGTTTATGTATTACAAAATGTTTAACTTTAATATATCTTTATCAATTTTGCTAATAATTTTCCAGAAGAAAAAATACGCTAAATAAAAACAGATGCAGGAACAATAAACTTGGAAACTATACTTCTGAAATATGATTGCTATACTATTTTCATTTATTATAGAGACTTGTAATTTATAAGTTTGTAACTATGAAATAATGAATTGAACTGAATTATGTCTTGATCTTACAATTGTATGTATCTGTTTTCAATCTTTATTTTCTACCCGGGTTTCATGCTGTAACTCTTAAGTGTCAAAAATAGTAAGGAAAGCTAGTATGATGATCCAGTAAAAAAAACAAAACTCCTAAACTAAAGCTGATATAGGTTATATCAGCAACTCAGACCTATTATAATCTTAAAAATATTGAGGACTCCAAAGTGCTTTTATATAGATTATATCTATTGATATTTACTGTATTACAAGTTAAAACTGAAAACTTCTAAAATATTAGATAAAAAAATACATAAAATTCTAAAATTAGATAATATATATACATATAAACCCATTAAATGTTAATGTAAATAACATCTTTTATTAAAAATAACTCTCTTTTCCTAAACAAAAATATTAGTGAGGAAAGTAGGTCTGTTTTATATTTTTTCAAATCTTTTTTTTTTAATTTTTTTTAATGTTTATTTATTTTTGAGGAAGAGAGAGACAGCACAAGTGGGAGAGGGGCAGAGAGAGAGGGGGATAGAGAGTCCAAAGCAGGCTCTAGGCTCCGAGCTGTCAGCACAGAGCCTGATGTGGGTCTCAAATTCACCGACCACAAGATCATGCACAGAGCCCGATGTGGTCCTTGAACTCAGGGACTGCGAGATCATGACCTGAGCCAAAGTCGGTCGTCCAACTGACTGAGAAACCCAGGCTCCCCTCAAATCTTTTTAATGTATGGCTTAATAAATGTGAACTAGGTATCTGCTGCTGCATTCAATCTAAGGTGTTGTTTTGGCTGAAGCATATGAAGGCAATATAATCTAGCCTCACTAGATACACAGTTGCAAAAGGACACCTTTTATGGCCTTTTTAGATAATTGTGGACATTCTCCTTTGATTCTACATTAAAATTCAATAACTGAGAATTCCTTAAAGGCTAACAGCAACATGGAATCTATAACCGTATCAATGAACTCTTCATACTGTATTACATTAAACCCACTGGATAAAATGGATCTTTTACCCATGCATGATTTTTTAATTCCATGCAATGATCATTTGGAAAGTATGAGGTTTGCAGGTTTACCAAATGCTAACACATCTCATTAAACAAGTTAAAAAATACATTTCTAATATCAACATCATTGTTATCAGAAAAGTCTAAGTTCAAGGAAATTGTTGGTCTTAAGATGGTAAATACAAGTTTTTCAAGATTCTAATTTTTACTTCAAAGTTTTGATTTTACCATTGGCAACAAATGCTGTCAGCTGTTTCCCTTGAATTAAAAGGCTTACTTTGTCATTTTTATTCAAGAAAATTCTACCAAATGCCTAAATCTAAAAAACTATACTTTCTATGCGTTTAAGTAAAAATAGTATTACATGATACAAGTGTCCAATTCAGCTCACAAATTCGAATGGCTACATGAATACTTTTCCTTGAAACAACCATCATATTTTAATATGCTATAAAGCTTTATGTGTACTTTCCATTTTATTACTCAGGATATTAAAAAGACAGGCATTCAATGGCTGAATTTTAATAAAATTAATAATGCTTACTGCACCATCGTGGATATTCTCATGTGAAACAGGCTTTTTTTGTTTTGTTTTGTTTTTAAGACTGAATGCAGTAGGAAGAACACAATGATTACTAGTACAGTTTGATGCCACTGCCCTAATTCATACTAAGGAACTAATAATTCTGCCACCATAGCTTCTGTATCAGCAGTGCAAGTGCCAACATAGCGCAAAAACCAAATAACACCCTGTTACTATATGAAAATAGTTTTGACATTATGGACCTCCAGAGTTCTTCAGGACACTGAGGGCCACTGGGTTAGGTAATTCAAGAAATGTACAAACCTCACAGAATAGGAAATATTTTATTGTGCTTCTCAAAAAAAAATAATTCATACTGACTAGCTACAAATCCTTTTGCTATTCCTAAGGCCACAGTGAAGATTCAACAGCATTCTAAAATAACTACATGCAATTAAAAGAAATGGAAACAAGCCTACAGAAGATGTTAAACTTTGTCAAGTGCTTAATCCCAACAAAGAAAAAAAAATTACATAGCAAAGAGCTCAGAATTTTCTATTTGGGTCAAAACTGTTTAGGATTAGATTATATACATTGCATATTATTATTTATTTCTTACCTTAGCTCTAGAGGAACTGACATTTTCCATATTTTCAATGCTGCAGATACAATTCTGTGAAACCTTCCGGCAAGCCACTCTGATATAGTCCCAGAAGCTACGAGGACTTTCATAACCAAACCAGGTTACTTGACCTTCAGAAGACAAATTGTAATACAAAATAAAAGAAAACTAGACTAGAAAATTCAAAATGCAAGAATAAAATTCTAAAAAATAAAGACAGCATATGTACTATAGTGAAAAGGGTAATGATCTCATTGGCCAAAAGCCTTAAATCTAGTCCTGCTCTACTTTTAATTAGTTGTGCTACTTTAGGCAATTTATTTAATGGATTTGGATCATAGTTTTCTCAACAATAAAACCAAACAAATCAAAGAAAAAGGGACTAGAGACTAACCATCTGGTAGATTGCACCCAGAAAACCCTCCTTATGGTTCTAGTTAACCATTAATTCACATGTCACCGGTTGCATTCTAAACCTTTCTCTACGTAGAGAAACAGAAAAAATAACACAACCCCTTTCCTCCTCTTCACAAGGAAACTTCAAAGAAATAAAACAATGTGTGGTCTACCCTCTAAGTAACATGATGAATTAGAATCCTGCATTCACTTATCATTCATTATCTACCCAATCGTTCCCATCTAAAAAGCCATCAAGTTTCCCTCTGTCATTCATCTGCTCTCTTCTAGTTGGCAAACCATCAAAATTCATTCAGGCATTTACCATTATAATTTTTTTCAGATTTGGGTAATTATGGGTCTGTTCACAAACAAATGTTCTTTTGTGTTATCTCCCATTAGTATTACTATTTCTATGTGGGACTCTTCAGTGGTGGATCTGTGAGAGCCATTTTGTATTCTCAGCATTTTTAAGCAGAATATAAGAGACATCTTAATACTTTCTTTAGTTTTTCTGGAATGATTAGTCTTACCTAAGGAAGTTGTTTAATCTTAATGTAGAAGCATCTTAAATCTGTGCTTCCTTTATCTATCTATCTATCTATCTATCTATCTATCTATCTATCTATCTATCTCAAATCTTCCTTTCCCCAGTAATAGTTTCTCTCTAGCAACATCAAAAGCCTTCTTGTCGGCAAGCACTGTCTTAGGAGAACTGTCTCAAATGATACTTCAGTGGTTTCCAACCACAGGAGCTCGAAACAGTAACTGGGCTGCTTTTTAAAAAATATACATGCATGGGCTCCACCCCAAGCTAAATAATCAAAACCTTTAAGGGCAGGCCCAGACATAGGTATTTTTTAAAAAGATCACCTTGCTATTTCTAATAATTTACTTATGGTTAATTAACCAATAGAAATTGTACATATCATGATAGGAAACTTGTATTCATTATTCTGGACATTTTAAAGTTCTTTTCTTCTTGCAACCGATGTATGATCTCTACAGTGGATCAACACCTTCCTATGTGCTGACACAGCACTCTGTGCTTATTTATCCTTATAAATGTTTACTTGATTATCTTACATATTAAGGGGTAAAATCAGTAAGGCAAGGACTGTCTTATCTGTCTTTAAATCAATCTCTAACATCTGACACATGCTTGGTTCACAGTAGGCATTCAGAAAATATTTGTTAAACAAATCAACTGGTGAATCAACACAAAAGAGATAATCTTAATTGCATATAAAAATTCGATTTTTAAAATTCTGCATATCTTTTTATAGTGACAGTTCAGAGACAATCTGAGAAGACATCCGCATGCTAGATTACAAATGTCAAACATTCTGGACAAACACACCTTTATCTATATAAATAAAAATACAAAAGCATCTACAAATCTTTACATAACTATTTCTATAACTCAATGTCTCCTTAAAAATCAAAGCTTACTACCTACAAACAGAAATCTATAGGAATACTTAAAATTTCCTGTCTTCCTCTCTAATCTCTCCCTACCACTTTCCTTTGCCCCCTCTGTTCTGTGGGTTAGAAAAAAATTCCTGGTACAGTATCTCAATATACTTTGTCTTTGGGACAACATCAATTTGTTAGCCATTTGGAGAGGAGGTAAGATGCCTACTGGTTAAGAATATATGCTTTTGAGTCGGGAGGGATCTGAATTAGATCACTTTCTAGCTAATAAGTTAACTTCACTCTGTAAATTGGGTTTCATCTATAAGTTAACAATAATGGTAGTACCTACATGATAACACTGTTATCATGGATTCAATGAGATAATCTGTGTGAGGCAATTAGTAGACAGCCTGGTACAGATGTTAACAATTATTACTACAATTACTGTTATTATCATACAAATAGTTAAAGAACCCAAGCTCCCCTGTAGTGTCAACGAAGTGGGAATGAGATGCAAAATTAAATTTTTCCCATTACTTGCTCAGAATCTAGGAAAGTCCTTAAAATTTGCTCCCTAATTCAGCCTTTTCACATATCAACCATTTTATATTCACCTCCCCAATATGTCTCTATTCTCAATTAATTTTCTTTGGCTTCTACTAAGTAGGATCATTCCATAATTTAAGATGAGAGGCATGGTTGCCAGACTTCCAAAATGAGGAGATCTTAAAGAAAGGGAATATTACAAGCTTTCTCTGTCAACTTTATTTTAAATCTTCTCATGAGTTTGACACGGCTAAAGAAAATAACTTAAGAAGTTTTAAAATAAAGCTGTAAAAAAATCCCAAAACAATAGAACAAAGCCCCATTTTGGAGGAGAGGAAACCAAGATATCAAAAAGCAAAATCTAGGCTAAGGTTAAACAGAAGGAATGGGCACTAAATCTGTGGGACTCCAGGTATGGGTAAGATGTGTTATCTATAAGACTCTCACCCAAGAGACCATGGCAAGATTTCCCAGATTACAAACCAAGAGACTAAACAATTAACAGAATGACATATCATCATGATTTGCAGGGCCTTAAAAAAAATACCCTGTAGTTATCTCCACAATACTTTTATCTACTCCGCAAACTAGATGTAAGGATAACTTGGCTTGATTCTGCCTTCCTTCCTCTTCCGTGTGCATCATGTCCAAAGTCAAGTTCTGAATTCAAGACACTGAATTTTTCACATTCAAAAGAATCTGTTTTGAACAAGAGAAGGTGCATTCCCTTGTTAGAGCCTCCAAACAAACTCTCGTGTAAACTGTATATCCTAGAATTTTATTTAAATAGTTAAATTCTGCATCTATGAAAAGGTTACATTTAATTGAAAATAATGGAAGTGTTCAATTGGTCACTTGAAATATTATTATTTGAAGACAACTTTTACTTAAACACAGATTAATTGCAAAAGATGTACTGAGAGTATTAGTCTGTAATCACTATTCAACAGAAAAATCAAAAAACAAAGCTACAAGTGGATTGATCACGCCTTCAAAAATAACTATTGAATAAACAATCACTCCTCAAATACTTTCATTTCCTTAAAAATAACCATAAAAGCAAATCACACTTCAAGAAAACAACTAGTTTATACCTTGAAGAAATTTTATTCTGGAGAAGAAATACACTAACAGAATTATTTTTAAAGCCCTTGATAAGTGTATAATATGCTTTCAGTTATGTTTTCCTAGAAGTTAACTTTTAGCAATGACAAAGTTAACAAACTTTCCCAAATTTATCAGCATTCCATCATTTTAAGGCAAAGAAAGAAAGAAAGAGTGAAAAGTTAGCTAGACTAAAAGGTAATGTGCTACTAACCAACTATGTGGTATCCTTCCCACCAAACAGCATTATTTTCAGCACCTAACAATGGCCTGTGATCTCTCGGGTCCAATGTTATTCTAAAATTACTAAAAAATTCTAAAAAATTTTAAAAATAAAATAAAATTACTCTTCTGTATTACTTAAGTTAGATGTCTGTTCATATCATGCAATATATTTGTGTTTTGCTTATATCTTAGTTCACATCCAGAATGAGACCTTCTGAGAACAAGGACTAAATTTTCTAAAGTGGTTCTCTACTAAGTAGTGGCTAATGACACATTATCTTTTGATAATACAAAATATAAATGAATCTGTTAAGTGACTTCCTTTCTCCAGCCTTTGTATTAGTGCTTATCTATGTAAAGAGCAAATGAAACACTGGTCCCACAAATTTAAGTCTTGTTAGTGTTACAATACATCACATCAATGACAATATCAAAGACTACTACCTTGGAACTGTCATTCAACTAGACAAGCAATAAAATACAGTCCCATCAAATTTTAATTGACCATTCTGAAAGTTTTCAGACACTTAAAAGAAAATAGTCACTTGTAGACTGATTGTTGCCAATATATTAGTATTTAGATATACAACTTTAACTTTTCACTTTAAATTTTGTAACAGCAATCCTCAATTTCTTACTGCTAATTTATAAAACTCAGTTTAATATTTTCTATTATAGTTTTGCTAAACAGAGAAAATTCCCATTTCTGCAAAAAGAATCTTTTCCTTTAAAAAAAGTACTATTATTATTTGAGGTTCATATTTATTAGATCACTCAGCTCTGAAAGTAAAATAATGACAATGATAATTAATTTTCTAAGTAAAAGGTCATATATTCTAAAAAGAGGAATCAAATTTAAACACTTTAAAAATACTTTAATTACATATTAAGTTGAATCTTAAGAAGAGTAAATCTAGACTGGATACTCAGTTGTACTTATATTGCTAATGCTGTATGTTACTTACAGGGCATCTCAAGTAAGTCACCTAGCAACTATGAATCATAGTTTACAAAATATGATTATTATTCTTTGTTACTGACAATGTCTTATTCACTGGTAAGGAGGTTACCACAAATATCACTGGTAAGGAGGTTACCACAAATACCAATAATATGTATCTATACTGTAAAACTGAGTCCATTCTTAACCTTCCACAAAATTTAAGATGACCAGGTTCACCAAAAATCCAAAAATTGAATTTGACTTAATAAGCTTTTTATCCCAGTAATTTTACCATCTTTCTGAGTAGAGTACAAAGGTTTTGTTTTTTCCTTCTACCAGTGTTTTAACATAAGGCTTAGACTACTGGCAGATTGAATTAGAATACTGAAGGCTGAAATCCATAAAGAGAGCAGCACATCAATGTGCAGCCCCAAAGAAATCAAGCATAATTTGTTTCAGTAGTGATTAAGGCTGTATGTAGAGAACATGAAACAAACGAAACTGTTTAAAATGATTACTTGTGGAAATGAGGGTTAATAAGAAGACATTTGTTTTCTACTTTCTATCTTTTGTCTTAATTATAATCCTTAGAAAGAATGACTATATATTTCTTTTCTAATTAAAAAATATAACAAAAGGCTAGGTCATAAGTACAGAGCCCAGCAGTGTTTTTGCAGACAGCAGGAACTCAATTAAAAAGTTTTGAATAAGTGAATAAAAGCATGCATTCTACCTGGGAGAAAGGAAACTAAGAAATATATTCCCACTAATGGTTCAAGAATGGCAAAGAAGTTATTGATACTGCCCATGTATGTTTCATTGAGTGACTGTTAAAATCACACAGCTTCCCTAAGCCCCCAGTTAGCATGTAATACAAATATTATTACACAATAGTTACAAAAATGAGGAAATAACTAATAATTATCATATCATTGAGTTATAATAAAATGTAAATTACACTGATAGATGTAATTAATAAAAGTCATTAAAACCATGGAACATAGAGAAATGTGGAGGGGGTCACTGAGAAAGGAAGGAAAGTAAATAATTATATTGAGTGGGTTTACATCAAGATATTAATTTAAAAATTAGCATAAGCATATTTGTGCTCTCTGGATTAACCAAAACAAAACAAGAAAGCTTTGCAAAACCCATGCAATGTACTAAAAAAGATCACTTAACTGATACAGCCCTCCCCAGTAAGTCAATTCCATGCTCCCGCGCAGCTCAGTGGCGGGAGACATCACCAGCATAGAGTACCTTGAAGAGGTATTTGGAGATGAGCCAGCCATCTGCAACTTTGGGATATCTCTTTAAAAAAAATAAACAACAACAACAACAACACACAGACATTTAAGAAACCTGCTATCAAGTTTACAATTGCAAAGTGAATAGCCCAAATAAGATGGCTACACATTATCTCGGTGCAGTAAACACTAGTTTTACCTAATAAATAAAATGAACTCAGTTAAGATGAATATGAGATACACCTAGCACTTAAATCAAGTTGGTCCCTTGTATCCTGTTCTACTGGAGAAGGGAAGGTATTTGCAAGTCACAGAAATAGGTTCCCTGTTTGTGTCAGGGCCATCATTCTTCCCAAAATTGATACGCCAATGTTGACAGGGCAAAAAAGAGCAAAAGCTTGAATGAATCTGCTACCTTTGCACCTCAGAATTTATAAGATTGGTTAGGAAAACTACTATTAAACTATTAATATTAAACTATACAGCTTATAACATTTTCAACTGTAAAAATATATATACTTTCTACCTGGTAACTTTTGTAAAAGTTATAAGCAAACTCATTTTAAAGATCAGCTCTCTTGCTTTTTTGGCCTAAGAATAGTTAGTATGTTTTTTTTTTTTTTCTTTTGTGAATTATGAGAACACCACTTAGAGATCAAGTAGAGAGTTGTTCAGTTTAAGGAATGTTAACTAAATGCCTGGTTCATGCAAAATACGTCTTCTACATCTTCCAATTATTGTTTAACAACCACCATGTGGAAAAGTACTGTAAATTGTTGCTATGTTGTTTGAAAATTCCTAGTATAATTATACAGGAAAATTTCAAAGCCAAATTTCTAAAGTCGCAGTCCCCCAAAATGATCTTTTCGTCTCTCATAACCAAACACTGAAATCTCCAACAGGACATGGTCCCATATACGTTACCAAATATTTATACCTTTTACGAAACCAAACAAAATCAACTGCACAGTCAGTAATGTATGAAAATAAAAGTTAGAAGACATATATAGTTTGCGCTATTGGCTACATCTATGTGTTAACCACTCACTCTCTATCCTACCTCAATGTATAACATTTTTAACCAACATTAAATTTGGAAACACATATCCAAAAGGAATTATAATTTGGTACCCTAGTTGAAACATGATGTTTACAACATCATGTTGTTACTACAACCACCAGAAAAATGAAAATGTCTCAGCATTGAAATGTAAGTCAGAATAGAATGCTTTTCATTGCAAATATTAAGAATACCAATTCTTAATGTTTAAACCACAATTATTATCTTTGCCCTAAAAATAAGTTATGTGTATTATTTGTAGTTATTAACATAATCAAAAAAGTTATCAATGTAAAAACAATTTCTATGAAAATCTTAAAGAAATTTTACTTCAAAAAATGTATCAAATAAGGTGTATCATGTCCAGATTTATGTCATGACTTAACCCCTGGTATGAAGAAATAGTTACTAACTCTACTATAAATCACAATTTATAGATTAGGTTTTTTTTTAAAGCTGTTAGTATGTTAGCCTTTATGTCCTCATTATGTAAAGTTTTTATTTTGGCTGTAAAATATCACGCGAAAATTTAACAAGTTAAAATGCTGGGGAGCCTGTGTGGCTGGGTCGGTTAAACGTCCTACTTTGGCTCAGGTCATGATCTCACGGTCCATGGGTTCAAGCCCCATGTTGGGCTGTGCTGACAGCTCAGAGCCTGGAGCCTGCTTCAGATTCTGTGTCTCCCTCTCTCTCTGTCCCTACCCCACTCACACTCTGTCTCTCTCTCAAAAATAAATAAAACATTAAAAACAATTTTTTTAAAGTTAAAATGCTTTCACTTATTTGTAGGACTTAACTGCTTTAATCATAATATAATATCTCACTCTAGGTCAGTTATAAACAACCAGAAGCATCCAGACCAAATAACCATCCACTAGATTCCAAATTATCTGTAATCAAATTTCAACACTGCTTTCATTTTATAGATGAGAAAGAAGAGGCCCAGGGAGAGTCTGCCTAGACCCATTTCTGTTCGCTGTAATTTCATGCTGCTCTATTCATAAGACAAGATTTGACAGAGGAGAATCAGTCAACTGGTTTTCCTGGTTGGTTATGAGTTCTCAATGATAGCGGAAGGAAGGAAGGAAGGAAGGAAGGAAGGAAGGAAGGAAGGAAGGAAGGAAGGAAGGAAGAAAAAACAGGCAATAAATATCTAGTGTGGCTGGGGTGAATATTTTTCATACAAAATTTAAATTCTTAGCACAGTTGTTGCCAAAAAAGTAAATAAGTGAACCACAAATCACATTATTTCAGAGTGGCTCAAGGAGTTCTGTTTGGAAAAAACGTTCTCATTTGCAACTAAAATAAAACCCTTTGTTACAAAATATAGTAATGTTAAGAGAAAGTAAAATAGTATTTTTACCATTAAGTACCTTAGAATAAGTTTACACAAGACCAAATAAACCAAATAAACAGAAAGTGTTTTTGTTCAAAAACAAAATTCATTCAAGTGCACCATTACAACCATATCACACATAGTTATAGTAGGTGTTAACTTAATTTCTGAGATTTCAGCCAAAGAGTCTACTCAGAGATGGATATAATAAAAGAATATTTAATCATACTGAAAACAGAATTTTCTAACCCAAACAGTACTGAACTTTCACAAACAACTGAAAATAAATGCAACTATAATCTTTTCACTAATGTGGAAACTGGCCCTCAAACAGAAAAGATTACTGACCACAAGTAAATCTGCCTTGGTGATAAGCTGAATTTAATTCTAATGCATGAATATGACATTTATTCTTCAATTTTTTGGCAACAAATGTGCCTCTCTCTCCATCCATACCCCGCTCATGCTGTCTCTCAAAATAAATAAATATTAAAAAAATTCTTTTTAAATGACATTTATAGGTAGATAGTAGGTGCATTAGAAACAAAACCATTTGTTCATTCATTCAATAATTTTTGAAAACTGAGTATCAAAACTTTGAAAACATTTTACATTTTAAGAGTCATAGTGACTTTAAAGGAAAGACATGTAAAAAGAATTTTAATAAAATAAAAATATTAAGTTACATGAACAAACAACTCCTGAAATTAGAAATGCAGAAAGATGTAGAACATAAAATTATTATGATGCCTTACAAAAATGAACTAAAGTCCATTAAACTATGCAATCTCCTCCCTGTTGTGTAAACATGAGAAATATGTGAGCAATATTTGAGCATTAAAAGTGATCAAAACTGTTGAATTTATGTATTAAAAAATTTAATGAGACAGCAACTTTCCATTACTTAAGCAAAATATAACTTGATAATTACAAGTACTGTAAGTTACTCTATGCTAATTCCACAAAAATCATCAGGTCAAACTGGAAATATTGCATTATTTTTCTGGCTACAAATACAGATAAATAAACATAAGTATGAACTACCATCAGAAACCATTAATTCCTGCTAAATCCAAGAATCTGTATTATCGGGTAGAATTATAAATTTCTTTCCCTCTCTCATGTATTTAAAAAAGATTTTCAAAAATATCTGAGGCAATGTTATCAATGGTAGATATTATTTAAGTATTGTCATAGTATTTTTTTCTATTCACATAGAAATACCACATAGTGGTATTCACATTCAGAAGCCAAATCTAAATTTGGCATTCTTAATTTAATGGGGTTTGGAAGTTAAAGTTCATGTAAAATAAACCTGAAAAATAATCGAAAAATAACAAAGATTAAAACCACTATTAAATCTCTCATTCTGTAAATAAATATTTAAACTGGGGGATTAAAATTACTCCTTGAAAATTCTGGTTTGGTTGTAAAACATAAAGACTATTTTGTCTGTATCTACAAATAAGTACAAATACTAAAGACATTTTTCTTGCTCTTCACCCGGAAATGCTTACAGCAAATACAGTAATTAAGAGTACTACCACTACAATCATATGGCTCCAAACAGAAGCAAATATCCAAGTATGGGGGGATTATGGGTTTTAGAATTATAAACATTCACAAGTTATATAAAACATTATAAAACCAAAAGAAGAAAAATATTTCAGATATTTTAAAACAGAAATAATAAACACTCAAATAAAAAATAAGCAGAAAATAATACCAATAGTAATCACGTAAAAAGACCACCAACAGGGAGGAAAGAAAAAAGCCATTATTGATCAAAATGGGCTACATTAAAGCTAGTTCCATGCGATGTAAAAAGTTGTTGTTTTTTTTTTTCTATTCTCGGGTTATTAAGAAAACTCACTCCAGAAAATAAGCAAAGGTCATAATCAGAAAATTACAAAAAAAGATTTTTAGTAAACATGAAAATATACTCTATCTCATTTGCAAATAAATGCAAGTTAAAATAACAGAATATTTAATATATTTCATATCAATAAAAGGCCAAAAAGATATTTTCCCCTATCAGGTTAAAAATTTTTAATATTAACAATGATACAATGAGGACATGAAAAAAAATAACAATTATATACATTATTATTGGTACAGCTTTTCTGGTAGACAATGTAGCAACATATATTGAAGTAAGAGTATATAAATCAGAATGTACACCCTATGATTTCAGTAATTGTAACTCTAAGAATTCATTAGCTAGTACCACTAACAGGAAATAATTTTAAATAAATCAGAAAACTACATAAACATAAATGTTCAGGGATAAAACACCATGCTTATGAAAGAGAAAATTAGGAAATAATAAATATTAATTATGGTTAATTCATGCATTAGAATATTATTCACTTGTTAAATATGAAATGGAAATATACTCAAAAAAAGAAAACATTTGTTCAAACAAAACGTTGTACATGAATATTCACAACAGCATTATTTGAGAGAAAAAAAGTAGAAACAATCTAATGTTCCTTAACTAGATACACTAAATGTGTTATATCCATATAATGGATAGCCATAAAAGGATGAATGAACTACTCATACACATTACAACATGCACGAACCTTGAAAACTTTATGCTAAGTGAAAGAAGCCAAACACAGAAGATCATATATTTTATGATTTCATTTACATGAAATATCCAGAA